CACACGCCGAGTGTGAAAACAAGTGGCACAGAGAGAGTCATTACTTTTAGAGCTCTTCACTCGAGTGTGTGTGTGTGTGTGTGATACTGATTTCTCTCTGGTTTTATGTGTTTCTGCTTCAACTCTTTCCATCTCGAGCTCTCACGGCTGACTGCTTCCATGTGTGTGTGTGTGTGTGTGTGTGTGTTTAGAGTGGTTAGCTGCAGGTTTAAAGTTTTATAAAGCTGTCAGTTCTCGCTGATTTTTATTTCAGTGGGTGAGTGAAGCTGACAGACGCTCTGAAGTGTTTGTGAGAGAGTTGAGCTTCACCCGTGTGTGACGACTCACAACCACACACAGCTCACAGACGGACAACATGAGGTGCACAGCTGTAGTTCACACACCTTCAGCACAGTATCAGAGTCAGTGTGTGCTCATATCAGGGTCAGATCTCACTCACAGGAGAAACACACACACAGTCTCATTCGTGTCTGTGATCTTTGCTTTAAAGATAAGAGTAAGAACATACAGCAAACAATATTGGTATCAGGCAGCATTATTGCTTTGTTTTGTTTTTAATTCAATTTTATTAATTCAATTATTATCAGTCTAGTTGAGATCAAATTTTAGTTTATTTTTCTTTGTCAGGTTCTAAAAGTACTACTGTACACAGATCTCCATTGTTTCTGCTATATATAGTATTTATAATATTTTAGGTTTTTAGCATAAATTCTTCATCGGAGCTTTATAGAATAGAAACTCTTTTCATAATAATATAATAGAAAGTCTTTTTTTGAGTATCATTGATACACTATTATTGCTTCATTCATATTTTTAATTCGTTTTTCAGTTTTTTTCTTTAGTTTTAGTTTGTTTTAGTAATTTTGTTGTGTTTTGTCATTTTTAAATATGTATATAATTTTTGTTAATTAGTTGTAGTTATTTTAGTACTTCAGGTTAAACTAAATTAAAATGAGAAATGCTGCCTCAGCAACTAGCTGAAATATTTTACTTTGTTTACGTTAACTTTTATTTTAAGTAATCGTTTTTTATGCTTTTGGTTTTCATTTTTGTTGTTGTTAACTATAATAAGCATGGATAGAAATAAAGAAAAAGAACAATAATAAAACTATAAATCATATTTGTATTAATATATTCATTAATATAGTGTAATATTTATATTAATATTATATTAAATATACTTAATTAATAATAATAATAATATAATAAAATATAGCTGCAAGCAGTGATCACCGGGGGTTCAAGCGCTTTAAGGCCTTTAAGGTGCTAGGCTTTCAGGGTCTAGGCCAGGGGGCGGCAAGTAAGTTTGGCATCGGGACAAAAAAAAATTTCGCCACTAGATGGCGGGCCAGAACATAGTCAAAGGATAATTTAAGAAATTAATTGATGAAAAATGCAACTAGAATTGCCTGTGACAGACTGTTACAGTGTCTTTTGTAACTGGTAGTGAGCTGTTACTCTGTGTTAAATCCTGTAGTAGGACAGTCATTAACAAAAAGCCACATTTGTGTGGCGTTGTCCGGCATCTTACCACATGACAATCTAATAACATGGTTGTCAGCATTAAAAGGTGCTTAAAAAGTGCTTTTTGAGGTGCAAATTTAGTTTGTGATGAAAATAACAGTACGTTTTCGTCAGTTGTTTTACCTACGGATCGATGCATTTCTTACAGATTTCTGCTCATTCGAAATCAGAT